TTTGAGCTAAGCAGAATAATTTTTCTGTTCTTGTTAATGAACAGTGCTTTTTTAAAAACTGTTTATCATGTCTTACAAGTTTATAATTAGTATTTGATTTATATATATATATTTCTGTAATATATATTTACAATATAAGTAGATATTTCTGTTCATACTCATACTTTTTTCATGCTTTTATTGGCAGTAATGAATGTTCACCTTTGATACGGTGAGGATTTGAAATCTTGTATAACGCCTATTCACTGTCCTGTTGCGCATAGTTAACTTTTGTTCAGCAGAGGCACTTGATGCACACATGACTGCAGAAACCTTGCTTCAGTACTGTTTTACAGTCTCATAATTCCATTTTCTTTGAGAGATACAATATTGTGTTGCGTATTATTTGTGGTTTGGTTAGTTTTCATGTGTGAGGGTATACCTATTGCTTAACATAAGTAGAATGTGGTGTGAATGAATGTAGAAAGAGACTTCATTCCGATGTTAATGTGCGACACTTTCTTGTTTTGCCTGACACTGCAGATGAGCAAACAGGAACAGAATATTACTTTCATCTCCTAGTTCTGCTCCGGAGAGCAAAGTGGCTTTTCCCAGCATGCTTTGTGACTGCTTGAGGCATTTTAGATCATCAAGAAGGCTGTTTTTGTATTTCTTCAATTAAAGCAATCAAATTAAAATGTCTTTGCTCATCGGATTGAAATGGCCATTGCCATTGTGGCTGTTACAGATGACTCATATATGTTGATAATTGTGGGTTTTATGAGAAACCAGGGAGTGATCAAGGTTCTTTTTTGTTATTGAGTGTTTTCTCTTTCTCTCAATTTATGATTATGACTGTGTCAGTTATACTATACCGGAAGCTGTCATGTTGTTAAATCACTAACATGCAAATACAAGGTTCACAAAGTGAATATTGCAATTGTGATTTACAGGAATAGTCATAGTTTTTGTAATAATCATTTTTGTATTTGTTATCTTTAGCTAAATTATTTTGCCAAGTGGAAATCATGCTTGATAAAAAAAATGTTTAAAGAACGAATTAAAAAAAGAAAAATCGGTATGCCAGTATTCAATTAGTCAAGAGATGGGAGAACTTCTGTTTTGTGTCAACTTCGGTGTTGTTGTTATTGTTAGCTAAAACTAAGAAGAAAACTATTAAAATAATCTTAATTGAAATAAAACAGAAATATAATATAAATATTAGATAAAAAAATATATATTAATCTTTAAAAAAAAAAAGCAATCTCCTCCGCCCACCGCCCATCTGATTTCTTGGTAGTCACGAGTCCGACCAATCAATGTGGAATTCACTCTCACTCCTTTGCTAACTGGAGCTGCTTCAGTGATCACGCATCAGTTGTCTCTCAAAGGTAAGGCAGCAGCAGACTTTGCTTGAGTTGCAATAAATCACAATCCACTAATGTTACACTGAAGTTGCAAAACACCTCAATATTATCTATGATTTACGCGATGCAGAAAATGTGGACGGAATCACGGAATCCAGTCATATACAGGTGCATCTCAATAAATTAGAATGTCGTGGAAAAGTTCATTTATTTCAGTAATTCAGCTCAAATTGTGAAACTCGTGTATTAAATAGTGTATGTAAATGGAACAGACACGCAGTTTTGTTTTCTACATATACAAAGTGTGCGACGCTCGCGGTGATTTCAGCTTCGTCTCACTACATGAGGACATAAATACATGAACAACATCTCCGGAAGTGCTCTGCCTCCCTCTGAGAGTCACTTCATGATCATTTGACCGTTTCATTTGAGTAAAACTATTGCAGTGTTTCCCACAGACTTGCACTCTATTTGTGGTGGCATATATATGCAAATTCTTGAGTGGTAGAGATCAAGATTTCCCTGGTAACGCTGTACACAAAGCAGCGCTCCGCTCACAAACGCTGCTTTATCAGACATTACATGCAAGATGAAATGAAAATGACATCCAAAATGTTCTGAAGACAGTCGGTTTCCTTCAGAAATACAGTGATATAAAAACACCCGCACCAGTTTTCAATTTTGAAACGTGTAGTGCTCATGTTTATTCAACAAAGTCAAAGCCTTTTGGAAAATCTGTTTGTGGCGGTCAGTTTTGATATTGTGGCGGGCGCCACAAATAAATCAATGTATGGGAAACACTTACATAGGCTACAGAAACTTAAAAGTTCCTCATGGCAACCCGTCAAAATATAAGTTTGAGTTAGCTTAAAGCAATTATCAGAAATATATTACTGTGGTGCAGTATGATATAGCCTACATAATACTACTACTTCAATTATTACAACTTTTGTTTAAAAGAATAATCACACAATACGCTATTTCTTCCATGTTTTAATTTTAATAGTAAACCCTTTGTTTGCCAAAAAATAAAGAGTTTCACTCTAGTGTCACATAGGCCAAGACATTTCAATAGGCTATTGGACTAAGTGTGCCTGTAAAAGGCTATTAGTGTTATAGTTTCATGAAAATAGTTGCAGTCTTCTTAACAACTTCTACAATATACAGTAGCTATGAAGACAATTAAATTATTTACACGTATATAAATTTTTTTATGTTAATCCATTGATGTGCATTAGATGATGAATTGAATAGTCACCTCTACTATTGTAGGTTATGTTTTAGCCATCAGAAAAGAACTAATGAGGAATTATGAATGGTTATGCTATTACACATACATTTCTAACATGTAAATTATTGAAGCCAAATACTTATGATTTCCTCAAGCTGTTTAGCTGTAGTACAGTATTCATAGGCTTAACCATGAAGCATACAGTGGGCCCACTTTTAACTCTCACTTTATATTACCCTTATTGCAGATGAATGCACAGAGGAAGACAAGAGTAAGTGCAGTGTGGGAGTACTACACAACCAACACCAGGGAAGGCCGTTTTTGTCAGAGCCCTTGTTATTCTTAATTTTGACATTAATTTTCATTTTTACACAAGACATATATATATCGGCTCAAAATATTGGTTATCTGTCTACTCTATCTGTAATAATCGGTATCGCATCGGCCCTGAAAAACACGTATCGGTCGACCCCTAATAAGTTGAAATACAAAAATTATTTAAACTAAAACTGAAATGAAATTAAACAGAAATATTTAAAAATAATAAAAAAAAAAATGACAAGTACAAAATATTACTCCTACTTAAACTAAAATTAAAATATAAAATAATAAGTTAATTTTAAAATATTAATAATTACTGTCATAATATATCAATAATACTAAAATAATACTTGTCTGCTTGCCAGTGGCCAAATCAGCTTTTAGTCTTTAGGTCTTGGTGAAGACCGGACACATAGAGGAATGTTTGAATTAGGGATGCACTGATACCGATACTGAGCTCCTGTACTCGTACTCGTTAAAATGCCCCGGCATTAAATAATTATGAGATTATTTTAAATATTTTTTAATATACAAACAAGAAATTATGGTGGAAATGATACTTTTCAACTAAATTAAAACGCCAGTAGGTGCCAGTAGTGAGAGTGAGTCATTGAGTCATTCATTCAAACGATTTGTTCAAAGGACAGATTCATCAGATGTTTATGCATGGGCTAATGAAACTTTGACTCAACTGATTCGTTCAAAACACTGAATCAATCAGCAATTAATCGGCTGGTTGCTGTGAGATGCGCTGTGGTTCCGCCTAAAATGTAAGTGACCTAATATTATTGTATTTGCTTATTGAACTGTTTATAGAACTATTAAACAGTCTTAATGGTGAAAACGTTGCGTGATGTTGCCTAACTAACCGTTTTGATTTCTCCTGGAGAGGCGGCGGGAGCCTCACCTCAGCAGCGCAACCTTATACTGTTAACAGATACATTATATACATTAGATACCCACTATTCGCCACTTACGCTAAATGTAATAAAATCAGAATAATATTGCGTTTTGGTGTTTACATTGTTATTTTTGGTTTCTGATGTTTTAATCATGTTACTTGTCTGGCGTTAATGAAGAGTTAATGTCAAGCCCTGGAGTCTATAAGTGCCGGGGCTCAGCCCCAGATGGCCCGGCCCAATTTAAACCCTGGTCTTATGTCGCATGATGCTACAGTGTGCATGAATGGTCACATAACACACGCTTTCGGTCTTGAAGTATGAACGGACATCTGCATATGATTGGAACGCCACGCAGCTCGCGCACTACTCTCCACTGGAAATGAATGACTTTCAGTCTTTCATTTGTCTGAGATAGTGGAAAGCTGGCTTGAAACGCAGTGTAAACGCCAGTAAGACGAGGATCGTTTTCATTTTAAAACAAAAACGCACCAGTGTAAATGTAGCCTTACAGCTACGGGGGCTGGGACGCATTCACACTAAATACTCACGTGTGAGCCACATCTCTGCGTGTGGCATGTGACGCGGACCGACTGTGCAGACCTATCGGTGTATTAGGCTATAGTACCACGAGCAGACTGCTCCGTACGTTTTCGCATTGCTCTCGTGGATGTCAAACACTGATCGATCTGCGCCTCACTGACGTTGATGAGATTAACCCCTTAGGTATCGAAATTTGGTACCGAAAGACAAGACGTTTTTCGATACTCGATGGTATCGAGGCAATTCGGTCGGTGCCTAAAAAGTATCGAACTCGATACCCAGCCCTACTGAGAGATGGAAAAAGCCATTGTCTGATGGAGTGTTCAGCATTTTTATTGTAAGATGCATATAATAGCATCTGTTAAGTTTTATTATTAATGAATGAAGCTGTTGAGTGAAGCAGTTTGCCCTTCCAGACAATCGTTGGGCAGGGTGTGGGTGTGTTGTTATCTGTGTGTTTGCTCTGCACTTCTTACAGTAGATATAGACTGTCCTCTCTAACACACCCTATCAGACATGTGCTTAATGATCAGGCTGCTTGTGGTCCTATGTTGGTGCTGCATTTGATTTCCTTCCAGCTGGTCAGTTTCATGGAAAGCAGTTCCTATTTCCACACTGTTGCGATCTGAGAGGGTCAGTGAACTGTTTGATGGGGGAAGGATGGTATCATTGCAGTCCTTGTTGGGTTTACCACAGCACTGTAAATTCAGCAGGTATGATGGGATTTCACATGAAAAGGAAGTGAGCCATATTCATTGGAATGCTGGTGACAGCTTTTCAGGTCGACACATGTACGCACAGGTGCCACAACCTGTGTATATCTTTCGGTTAGGCGGTCTTACTGAAAAGATGACGGGAAGTGAATCAGGTGGTTCTAGTTCTGATAGTAGCCGATTAAAATACGATGCCGGGAAATTACAGCGTTCTGTGGAACTTATTACTTAAGTATTGCTGCAAGGTTCATTTTGAAGTATGTCCATCTAATTATAAGATACTTCGGTTCTTTGTTAAAAGTCCTGTTAAAAAGCTGTAAAGCAGAACATATGAAAATCACATCAGTATTTCATAAACATGCTCTCTGTTTACCCACTCCTTCTCTGGTGCAATTATTTCTATAGTTTGATCCTTCATTGGCCTTATTGTGAGAATTATTCTCTAGTCTGATTTAGGCAGTTGCATGAGTGATATATTCCAGGTGCTTTTGCTGGTGATAGTTATTTCATATATATTTTTAAGGCATTTAATTGGCAATGAGGTTCCTTAAAGTCATTAACCCCTTACCTGTCACCCCCCCCCCCCCCCCCCCAGACATAAGGTTGGTCTCTTTTTTAAAGAAGAAAATCAGCAGATTATCGCCAAAGTGGAATGTTTTCAAAAAATTAAAGTATCAAAAAGTTATAGTAGTTTAAATTTACTGTAAAGAAAATGCATTATATTAATTTTATATATAATAAATATTTTACATAACAGGTTTTACTCTAAAATTGGTATAAAATTAAAGCCTTATGTGTCTAAATAAGTTATGTTCCAAATTTGAAGTTGATATGAAAAAAATGTAGGTTCCTGTGAGATTTTATTTAGGGCGTTATACCACAAACAGCCACCGGGTGCCATCCCAACTCCATTGAATTTTTTTAATGCATTTTTCTGTCACAAATGTCTAGATTTCTCTGTCAATATTACTTCTATCTCAAAATATGGAATCCTGAGACTCAAACCTTTCCAATGATATGTTTTTTGTCAAGATTATAAAAAGGTTTGATTCTAAAAGACCGTAATAAATTTTGTAATATGACAATTGACACTGCCCGCTAAGGGGGAGGAGACCGCCAAAAGATTTTAAAGTGCCATTTCCATGGTAACGCAATGTAAGATTTTGATCATATGAACTGATACATACAGAAGTCCTAAGAGGCCGTGGATAATTTATATTTTTTCTTTCTTGTTTCTCGTGATCTCGACATAACAAAATTTGTTTTCTCGTGATTACGACTTTATTTTCTGGTGATCTCGACATAACGAAAGTTGGTTAATCGTTATCACGTCTTAATATTTTATTGTGATCTCGACATAACGAAAGTTGTTCTCCAAGTTACACAACTGCGCCAACAGTTGGCAGTATACACCTGAATGTAACTGATGGTGTTGTATACTGTATATCCACTTTACTGTACGCGTTTGGGACAGAATAAGGACCTTCTTCGTGATCGCTATAATTTGTGCAGTATTTTTCATTACTGATACTTAATTAATTCATAAATGCTTAAATGCTTGAATCAATATGATTAATTTGTTTATCATTAAGTTAGATTTTTCCTTTCTCTTTGGAGTGTTACAAGCTCTTGGTGCTGTGACGAGTTGGCTGCCTCCCCCTAATTATCAGCATCACCCCGTCCCTTAATTGCCGCCCTTCGCCAGGCTCCTGACATGAGTGGGTGCCAGGGCCAGGGCTGGGGGCGTGTGATGGGGCACACCTGAACCGAATGGAGCCTCATCACCGCCGCTGTTTAAATGCCGAGCGGGCCTCTCCTCGGGGGACCGGTCTCTTCCCCGTGCATGCACACTGGTGTCCTCGTGGGTCCAGGAAGGGTGCGTAGAGGGATTCCCGTGCCGCCAGAGTTGTGAGCTACCGGACCTGCGGTCCGGATGGGAACCGCACCCGTTACATGGCCGTCGGGCTAGGATGCCGGGCCGTCTAGTCCCTTCAAGCTCCGTGGGCAGAGAGAAGGACGAAGCCGCTGAAAGAAGCCGCCGCCCCTCGCGCCCCGGATCAGAGAGGGGAGCGCGTGTGGCCGCCGGACTCTGCCCCTTACCTGGACCCCTCCTTCCTGACCACTGCCCTTCCCTGCACGACGAGGACACCAGAACCCCTGTTTTATTTTGGACACTTCATTCCCCTTTTTCCTGGACACTTTGTTTATATTTTGTTAATAAAAGCCTCTCCGAGGCCTGACGCCACACCCACTGTGTCTGTCGTTTGGTCGTCCCACCACAGTGCATAAAGAAGATCTGTAAAGTTGCAAAGACTAAAGTCTCAAATCCAAAGAGATATTCTTTATAAAAGTTAAGAGTCAACCACGCCTACCTAAAATGGCTCGTTCTAACACGCCCCCACATGTCTACGTCACGATGTGGGAAGATTTGCATAACGCCGCCCAAACGTGTGTTTCATTGTGAAAGGGAAACTACTTTGTTTGGCCTTCCAAAAGAGGACGATATCCGCTTCGTCAAATGGGGGGGAAATATCATTATGAAATAAATATTTTTCTCTAATACACATTGGACACAATTAACCGTACCCTTTTATTCAATACTTTTTGAAACCTCCATTTGCCAAAATAGTGTAGAGGTTTTCTCCTATAATGCCTGAGGAGGTTAGAGAACACCTGACAAGAGATCAGAGACCATTCCTTCATCCAGAATCTCTTCAGATCCATTATAAGATTTCTAACAGAGTCGGTCACTTTTTGATTTTTTATCTGTTGGTATTTGATAGAATCAATGATGCCATGTGTCTAAACAAGATGTCCAGGACCTCCAGCAGAAATATTGGCCCACAACATTAAAAGTACAACAGTATATTTCTTGAGGGTTTGCTGCTAAAAAGCTATTTTTTTTAGTTACATCTGACCATAGAAGCCAGTCATGTCTGGCAACTGAATATGCTGGAGATAATTTTTTAAAGGTTTTCTGACCCCGAAACTCAACCTTTTTCTGCAATTCTCCAGCTGTGGTCCTTGGAGAGTCTTTGGCCACTCAAACTCTCCTTCTCACCGTGCATTAGGACGATATAGACACATGTCCTCTTCCAGGCAGATTCATAATATTTTCTGTTGATTGAAACTTCTTAATGATTGCCCTGATGGTGGAAATGGGAATTTTCACTGCTCTAGCTCTTTTCTTAAAGCCACTTTCTAATTTGTGAAGCTCAATTATCTTTTGCTGCACATTTGGCCTTTGTTTTCACTCCTATTTATATTTCTGTGAAACAAAAAGCCATGGCTGGATAATTTCATGTTCATAATCACCCTGGTGTGCTCAAAATTGTGGGGGAAAAAATCAACAGTGATTGATTAGCCTTTATTTATGTATTGTAGATGTTATTACAAAGCAAAGCAAAATTAGCTGAAATATCCACAACATACAGCAAGAGCAAGAGTGTTTATCTGTCGATCAGATGCGCAGTTAAAGTTGTTCATTACTATAGCAACAGTAGATCAAACAATCATTGTAAAAAAAAAAAAAAAACTTTCGTCATGTCGAGATCACTAGAAAACAACTTTCGTTATGTCGAGATCACAAGAAAATATTAAGTCGTGATCACGAGAAAACAAGAAAGAAAAATATTCATAATCCATGGGCTCTTAGGACTTCTGTAGATGCACTTTGGCGTCATGTCAAAAACCTTTCTGTTTCTCTTTCCTTTCTAGCTGCTTTCCTCACACAGACAGTCTGCCTGGATGATACAACAGTAAAGTTTGAGATTTGGGACACAGCCGGACAGGAGCGATATCATAGCCTGGCCCCTATGTACTACAGAGGAGCCCAGGCAGCCATTGTCGTCTATGACATTACTAACACAGTAAGTGCCTGTGATTGTGAAATCAAAACCTTTAAGTCTAAGTTGGATCAGTCTTGTACAGCCAATCATTCACCAGCTGAGGGTTACGTGGCACCTCAGCTGCAATGTGACTTTGCCAGTCATGCATGGGCTCTAATAAAGGCTGACATCACGCCGTTGTGCTCAGCAGAAGGGTAAGGTCTGAATAATAAGGTTTCACCTGACTGACTGCTGGGGTTAATTATTATTCTATAGGATACAGTCAGACCTTTGCTCAAAGTCAAGCAAGTCACAGTGGCAATGCAACTCCTGTTGGCAACCTTAAGCTAATTTATATGAATGTGTAATTATTTTAAAATACAGTGTTTTATTTGTAAATATGTAAAATATTTTAAAGCCTTTTATAAAAAAAAAAACATGCTTATGTATGTAAATAAATTGCAATATCAGTTAATTAAAAATATATGATGCCAAAGCTGTATTTTCAGCATCATTACTCCAGTCTTCAGTGTCACATGATTCTTCAGAAATCACTCTAATATACTTATTTGCTGCTCAAGAAACATTTCCTCTTATTTTTTTTAAAGTTAATATTATTATTTTAAAGTTATTATTATGTTGAAAACAGTTGTGCTTCTTAATATTTTTGTGAAAACCATGATAGCTTTTTTTTTCCAGGATTAAAAAGAATAGCATATATTTGAATCTCTTGTAATGTTATAAATGCATTTGCTGTCACCTTTGATCAATTTAATGCAACCTTACTGAATAAAAGCATTAATTTCTTAAAAATGTTACATACATACATACATATATACATACATATATATATATATATATATATGTATGTATGTATGTAACATTTTTAAGAAATTAATGCTTTATATGCTATAATATATATATATATATATATATATATATATATATATGTGTTAATTTCTTCAAAAAATGAGTTGTACTAAATCAACACATTAAATTGACAGCCCTTTACTCATGATTTAAACAAGTTCTAGTCCTTATCTTTTCATTCATTCGTTTTTTTCCTTTGTTTAACAGTTACTTCTCTGCTGTTTTTCTTTGCACTCTTAGGACACATTCACTAGAGCAAAGAACTGGGTGAAGGAGTTGCAGCGTCAGGCGAGTCCAAATATCGTTATTGCTCTGGCCGCCAACAAGGCAGACCTGGCCAACAAGAGAGCTGTTGACTTTGAGGTATGTTTATATGAACGCAAAACAATCTGTGTGAATCTACTTCTGATATGGTTTTAACACATCCACATACTTTCTTTAGGAGGCGCAGGCATACGCAGACGACAACAGCCTACTCTTCATGGAGACGTCTGCAAAGACCGCCATGAACGTGAACGAGATCTTCATGGCTATCGGTACGATCTCATTTCTCTTACTGACTCTCTTCAAGCCTGGAGCAAAACACAGCAATATGACACCAGTTTCACCTGCCGCAAAAACGCTCAACCAGACACCACGCCTAGTCGTTCAAATACTGATAGCGATTTTATTCAGATCAAATCAACCTAGCACGTTTATGAAGAAATTTTCCTTCTCAATCTCTTTCTTTAGCCAAGAAGCTTCCGAAGAACGAACCGCAGGGTGGAGCAGGGAGTGGCGGACGGGCCAGAGGAGGGGTCGACTTACAGGAGACAGCACCTCAGGGCAGAAGCGGCCACTGCTGTGGAGGCGGCAACTAACCATCGGACCAATCAGCTGGCAGATGCACCCAAGGACTGATACAGACACACAAACACAGTATGAATCCATAGTGTGAGATCCATTCACTTATGACCCAGCTCTAAACTATGGCCAGTTAGACTGTACCATACAGCTTCAGAACTGGAAACTGGCCATTGATACCCTTGTAAATCAACACGTTAATGTTTCAACCAGTTATTCCTCCCAAAAACAGTACATGCACATTCATATACAAACACAAGCTACGACATGTCTCTGCCATCTATGGTTTTCAAAGTTATTCAATTTGTCTTGTGTAGAGTTTGACAAAGCAAAAAGAGACAAACATGTGATCAGATCTAACCAATCACGCTTAAGTCAAAAGAAATTCCAGACTGCTGCTGGTGGAAAAACAAGTTGTCTCTCCTTTGTATTTCCTTATCCTCATTTGCTCGTTTGAATGAAAAATTTAGTGGCGACGCCACTATTCAGACTCGCTCTCCCTTTTGGTGGATGCATACTGCCAGTATTGAGTTACACCTCATCTTTCTCCTGCTCTCCTTGATCACATGTCTCCTTTGTCGGAGAGAGGAAAGATCGGAGATTGAGAAAACAGGCTATTTTCCATCTATGTCAGGCTGTTCTGTAGATCCTGTATTATTTCTATTTTATTAGTCTCTCAGACGTCCACTACTCCAGCACAAATGAAACCAGTATATGATTTGATAGGCTAGACTTCTTTTCTAATCGTTTGCATATATTTACTTGTATATCGAAAATGCATTAACAGGTGGTATAACTCCAATTTGGTTTAGTTTTTTTCCCTTTGCATTAATGAAATGTTTTTGAAATCAGACTTGGAAAAAATACATATAAATGACACGAGGCAAAATCAGCCACCTCTGACCAATATCACAAATATATACGAGGGGGAAAAAAGATAATGTTGCTGTTTTTGTACTCTTGTTTTTTGTTTTTTTCCTGTGAATATGACCCCAATCATTAACCATTTCAATTCAGCACCTTTGTAAGAATTTACTTGTTTTTTTACTTATGGTCTCTTAGAGTGCACTGGGTATTTCTTTGTCCTCTGACAACATGTCATTTTCTGTCAATATTGTTCCCTTCTGTTTAATGTCGCAGGATGTCTCTTTTGACCCACATTTTCAGCATCAATTGTAACCTAGCACAACAAATGTGAACGGTGACCCAGATGTCTCAAGCAAGGTCTGAGGAATGAGGGAGGCAATGGACAAAAACAAATAAATGGAAAAACACAAACCTAATAAACTTGTAATTTTACCAATAAAGGAGGGGAAGGTATACATTCTGTTTGTTGTGGTGTTATTTCTAAAAGTAGGTGGTGATTTGGAGTTTTTTTGTATAAATTTTTTTTATTCCTGTTCTAAATATGGTTGGGAATGGAGAACTGGTTTTTAATTATTCACAGTTACTAAATGGATTTAAAAGACGCTCGTTTTCGTTAATGATTCTCGAATGTGCATCTTTTGCTGCTGTGGAGGGAGCATAGTAAGTAATGGTGTATTCAGTACTATTATGTTTATGTTGTGCTGGCAGTCATGTTGAGTTACTGATGCTATTGTATAAAATCACTGTTCATCGTCAATCATGATTAAGTTCATCCATGAGTGAAAGTGTCCAATAACAGGGTGGTTACTCAGATTAGGCAAATAGTATTTGGCTAGTCATGTGATCTTAACATGGCAGCCCCCCTGAGGGGACCCTCTCCATGTTCAATAAAACAGCTTTTATAAGGTAACAGATTTGATTGGACTATTATTATGATGTGTTCTTGATTTTATACTACTGTTTCAAAATTACTATGCATTTATTTAGGAGTAAAACTTTTTAACAAGGAGAAACATTGCTGAGTGCACCTTTAAGGCTCGACCATGTAGTTCTGACTGGTAGTTCTAAATGCAAATTAGTTTTGTTGTTAGTGATATTTTATCTAAATACATTTTGTTTATATTTCGTTAAATATATACACCATGTGAGGCCAATTTTTAAGATTCAGAGATTTAAAAATATTAAAACGAGAGCGAGCATAAAAAGGTGTTTTCTGTTGCATATAGAAAGGGGTTAGTAAATGCAGAATAACTGAAACGGAATTGTTTCTTAAGATTTCCATCCCTAATCATCAATGTGTAGAAACCTATTTATATTTAGTAGCAAAATGCCTTATGGTTTTTTTTTAAACATTTATTTAAAAAAAAAATCAGTCCAGCTAATGTGTTAGCTGACTGACATTTTAGCAAAATACCAAAATGCATTGTGCTACTAACTATAAATAAGTTTAGATACATATAATTTGAATAAATATGCTTAATTTGCTCTTTTCAAGTGATATATTGCAATAATAAGTAGCTCAAGTGTTTCATGCCCCCCAGTGGAAAGTATTGTAACGTTTAATTCTGTAGCACTAGTACTCCATTTCCCAGCAACCTCCTATAGTGCGCAGGCGCAGTGCAGTGGTCAGAACGCGTATCGAAAACCATCACAAAACTTTATTGAAGCGGCACAGGATGGAAGTGAGCGCGGCGATCCTAGGATAGGAATTGAAGGCTGCTGATATGGCGGACCCGGTGGCACAGACCTCCGTGCAGCCCCGGCTTCAGCAAGCTCAGTCCAGCGGCCCGGCAGGATCCACCCCGCACCCCGGATCCGGGAGCAGCGACCCGGCCCGACCAGGCCTGAGTCAGCAGCAGTGGTCCAGCCAGAAGAAAGCCCAAGTCCGCTCGTTTCCGCGGGCTAAAAAACTGGAGAAACTCGGAGTGTTTTCCTCCTGCAAGGTAACCGAGAGCTCGGCTCATAACAATAGAGCGAGTGCCCGGGCCTGTCATGTGTCACTGCTTCAGTAACAGCCTGCAAACTAGTCACGCATGTGTCCTAGTACCAATACAAATCTAACCTTAACCTTAAAGGTGATTTAAGGTTGGAAAATAAAAACACAAGACTGAAAACTTCTATATGGACTAAAGAATGAAAATTGAATCGCATTTCTAAAAAATGCTTTTAAAATGGGTAGCTTAATATGTTTTATACCAGCTTTTATATAGTGTGAAATTAGCATATGGTGGTTAATTAAATGCATTTATTATGTATGTTTTTAAAACATGCACCATACATGCGACATTTTCAATATATCTCATTGTATTGCCGTGTTATCACCACTGCATTATTATAAATCAAAATGTTTTGTCAGTATTTACCTGATGACCCTGATGTTTACAGTCCTCGTTGACAGTTCTTTAAATCCCAGATGTGTTCTCTTATATTACAGGCGAATGATACTTGCAAATGTAATGGATGGAAAAACCCCAATCCTCCGACAGCTGCTCGTATGGAGCTCCAGCAGCAGGCAGCCAGTCTGACGGAGGCCTGCCGAAGCTGTGGACACTCTTTGGGTAAGATGAATGCCTCTTTGTCGGTTTTATTACATCACACCATATCAGACCCATGACTCTACTTGGCATCATCCAAATAAGCTGGTCCAGCATGATATTGTGCAACAGTGGCCAGCCACTTTTTCCAGTTGCCTTGCTTCTGGATGAATATTTTCCCATAGGGGTTTGAAAAGTTTTCGTTTCAGAGTTATAAACCATGAACCAAGCCATCCAGCTATGAGGTGAACTTACACATTACAAACTGTGATTTAAGCAAAGTATTTAAAAATACTTTAAACACAGCGAAGTGTGAACAATGGACATGGTCTAATTAATAAATATGCAAAAGCACAAAAATAGTAAAGTCAAGTGTAGCAATTATCACCCTAAATGGACAATTTATAAAATATGTTTTGCAAACCAGAAATAAGCAGCGTAAATACAACATTTGTGGATATACAGGTTACTATATGTTAACTGTGTATTTTGCTTCATATAATGCATCATTATTGTTGTTTACATTATCTTGTGTGTTTTTGTATAGCGGAGCATGTGTCTCACCTGGAAAACGTGTCTGAGGAGGAGATTAACCGGTTGTTGGGGATGGTGGTGGACGTGGAGAATCTCTTCATGTCTGTCCATAAAGAAGAAGACACGGACACCAAGCAAGTCTACTTTTATCTTTTCAAGGTAAACAGGCAGATGTGATCTGCTTCATTCATTTTTTTAAAAGTACAAACACACCCAAGATGAATTACTAATATGTTAAAAAGCCTCTAAGATGTTTTTGTTTATCTGTCAGCTGAATATTTCACATTTTTGCCTGTGTGTTTGACTGTTTGTTTCTTTTCTTAGTTGCTGAGGAAGTGTATTCTGCAGATGGGGAAGCCAGTGGTGGAAGGCTCTCTCGGTAGCCCTCCCTTTGAAAAACCCAACATAGAACAAGTACGTGTGTGTTGTGTATAAGAAAGGTGGCAAAACGTTTTCTGCCAGTCACAATCCATGTAAAATGCCTTTATGGGTGAGAAGAAGAGTGGGACATTTGTCTTCTAATTTAGGTCATTATTGTTGTGTGAGTTGTTCTGCACTCAAGATGCTCTCTCTGTCTGTCTCTCTCTCTCAGGGGGTGCTGAACTTTGTCCAGTATAAGTTCAGTCATTTGGCTTCTAAGGAGAGGCAGACCATGTATGAGCTCAGTAAGATGTTTCTGCTCTGTCTGAACTACTGGAAGCTGGAGACCCCATCACAGTTCCGTCAGAGGGCGCAGAAAGAGGATGCGGCCGCCTACAAAGTCGATTATACTAGGTTTGTGTGTTACAGTGGTGGCCAAAATTATTAGAACACTAGTATTTTTACCAGCTCAAAATTTTTTTTAAGTCAGTTATTTCTATCTTTTTCTGTAGTGTGTCAGTAGGAAATATCAGTTTACATTTCCAAACATTCATTTTGCCATTAATTGTAATAATCCGGTGAGATTTTTGTTTGCACAAGGAGTCCGATAACAGCCAGTGCTCCACACAGAGATCTGATCTCACCATCATCCAGTCTGTCTTGCATAAAGAAACAGAAAAAACTCAGATAGACTAAATCCAGAAGAACTGTGGCAATGTCTCTAAGATGCTTCAAGAAACCTACTTGCAAAACTACCTGAAAAACTATGTGCAAATGGACCTCTGACAAAAGCTGTTTTAAACGCAAAGGATGGTGACAAAAATGGTTGATTTAATTTAGTTAATAGAAGTTAATTGATAAAGAAAATCTATTTATGACATTATTTTTAACCGCATCCTCATTTTACAACATTTTTACACAAGTGCCTAAAACTTTTAACAGTACTGTGGCTTTGCAGGAAGGTTTCTTGAAGCATCTTGGAGATGTTGCCACAGTTCTTCTGGATTTAGTCTGTCTGAGTTTTTTTTCTGTGTCTTCATGTCATTCCAGACAGACTGGATGATGGTGAGATCAGATCTCAGTGTGCAGCACTGGCTGTTATCAGACTCCTTGTGCAAACAAAAATCTCACTGGATTATTACAATTAATGGCAAAATGAACAGAAAAAAAATAGATGAAAAAAAGATGATTGATTTCACTCTTTTGAAATATGAGGCATGATACATCAAATGTCAAAATGACATTTATTGAGAATTTTGTAATAAAAGAAATAACATCATATGTTTTTATTTTATTTTACTTACAATAATTTTTCTCCACTAACATTTCATCTGATTCTTCTTATAATGTATATAGATTCATTAGTGTAATTTTGATGTGTTTGAATAAATACATCAACAGTTTTGTGAATTAGTTTGTGTGTGTGTGTGTGTGTGTGTGTTTCAGGTGGCTGTGTTACTGTCATGTTCCTCAGAGTAATGACAGCTTGCCCCGGTATGAGACCTGTCAGGTGTTCGGCCGCAGTCTGCTGAAGTCTATCTTCACTGTCACCCGCAGACAGTTACTGGAGAAGTTCAGAGTGGAGAAAGACAAACTCCCACCAGAGAAACGCACTCTGATCCTCACACACTTCCCCAAGTAAGACACAATACCGTCTTATAATACACACTCCAGCACCATCACTCTCACATAGTGTAATTGAGCATGTGTGTGTGTGTGTGTGTGTGTGTGTACTAGGTTTCTTTCCATGTTGGAAGAAGAAATCTATGGAGAGAACTCCCCCATTTGGGAGGCAGACTTCACCATGCCAGCCTCAGAGGGGACACAGCTGGGGCATCAAACAGGTATGTGATGAGCTGGTTATTAGGGATGAGCATTTAGATTAATTTTGTAATGTAACGACAACTTATTCAAATCTATGTAAAAAAAAAAAAAAGACAAGCATGACATTTTTATTCATAAATGTTTGGCTACATTATCCTTATAATGGTTTCAAAATAAAAAATTCAACAACCTATGCTTTTTAAAGGGGAAAAATTGAGCTATATTCATTACTAAAAACATCAAGAGTTGCAAATAACAAAGAAAACCTAAAGTAGACTGCTACCATAATGAATTCTATGTCAATAAAGGCTACAGTAAATCACATTTTTATCATTTTACATGATCTTAAAGTGTGGCATCCATCACCTGACAAGTGGGTATACACATTTGATACTGTAAACATTCGGTAATCCTGACAAGATTCGTGTCCCAGCTTAGTGTCTTTGGAATGGTCTGTTTTAAAACGAAAAGTGATGCTACTTTTTATTCTTTCTGTCTTAGTGCTGAGTCCAGTCTCGGTGTCTGGCTCTCCTCTCAGTAAAGGCTGCAGTGGTTCTGCTCTGGGTGTTACAGGTTTGGACGTCGCTTCCTCTGAACCAGTAACCGGTAAGAAGATCTAGTTGAAGAATTATTTATTGTGCACTGTGAACTCTGTACTTTAGCATGTAATTGAAGTACACAATCATATATGCATCAGACTTAAAGGGGTCATGAACTGAGAAATCAAAGTTCCCTTGATCTTTTGACACATAACAGGTCAATGTACTATAAAAACATACTGTAAGTTTCAAAACTCAAAACTTTCCCGTTAGTTTAAAAACAGCTTTTATTGAAACCAAGCTCAGAAAATGACTCGTTTTGGAATGTGCCACTTTATGACGTAATAGTGTCGCTAAGCACCGCCTCCGCAGGAGAAGATCAACGCCTGCTTCTACAGCACTGCCTCTTTAGCTCCGCCCACTGATACGCGTCTGTAGTAGAAGGAGAGGAAATACTAGAGTGACGCAAACACAGGATTACTCCATCATCAGAACCATACAGATGACATTACAAGACACTGTGTAGTGTAAGATGTGAACATTTTTCTTTGAATTGTCATCATTGTGATCCTAACATATCTAGATCGGATGCGAGCGCTGTTGTATCATGTCGCGAATCAATTTCTCTTTCAGGTCAGAAGCGGCGTGAATGCTTGACTGTCAGAAATAGAGCGGGACATCAGTTTACTGTCTGGGATTTGTTGTGTCAATCTGTGCTGCATCCAGTGTAGACAGAATCACTGATTATAATGGGTTCTGCTGTCTATAGTCGCGTTGTGCCGCGTCGTGTCCGGTGTAAACACACTGGGTAAAATTAGCAAAGAGCTCCAGATTGCGTCATTGAATCACTGATTGTTTGTTTGCTTTACTTTGCTACTGATTCATTTTTAAACAAGACGGTATGATGCAGGCTTTTCAGAAAGACTGAAAGTAAACGATGATGCAGCGCTGAGTCTGACTAGAGCGGATCCAACAGTAATGTCGCAACACAGAAGTGAGAGTAAACGAGCTTTTACCACTATTGCATTGTCTGTTCCAGACCGTTTGATATATACTGAGTATTTATACGTTTTTAACCCAAATTACCCATGTTGTTTTCAGAGTATGTCACAGCAGCGTCCATCTGGTATTTTAATATGTGAAACTGTTAGCCAATCACAGCAGTGGGCGTTTACTTGCGAGTCTTTGGATGTGCAGCGTACCTGTGTTTGTGTATTTGGCGTAACGTTAACTCTAGTGTGAAGGCGCACGACTCGCCGTCGTTTTCTCTCACATGCGCAAAGAGCGAGAGCCTTACATAACATGCAGAATTGATGCACTACATGTAAACGATATACTTTGTCGTTCCTTTGGAATTCTTCAGCTTTTAAGAACTGCCAGGTTTTCCTGTAGTAGGCGGAACTAATGCGCAAACGACAATCTCATTGGCTGGTGCTCACCTATTATTGTCCCTGTTTTGATTTCAGCAAATCAGTTCAAGCGAACGCACACAACCTGATTAATATTCATGAATCCAGTAGCTCATTAATCCTTAGTGTGTTTTTATATTGTTCTTATTAGTAGAATTCGTATAATAATAATAATAATATCTTATCAGTATTATTGTTCGTTTTTTTTTTTACAGGAACACTGAATGACCAAAAAAAGCACCAGCACCAGTCCTAAGTTCATGGTTACCCAGTTTTAATTCTAATTACTAAACTTCTATTATTAAATAATACTTGATTATCATACTATAATGCTTGACTGCTTGACCGACTGATATTAAGAGTGTACTTTCAGATATTTAAAAAGCTGTACCATTTTACAAACATTATATATGTTTGTAAAATGGCATAATTTTATATGTATGTATGTATGTGTGTGTATATATATATATATATAGTAGTATTTCATAATAGTAATTACTAGTAATAATAGTATTTCAGTCTAGCGAGTAAACAAAAAAATATACTAGCCAATGGCGATTCAATTGCCAAGGTGTCCATTGAGGGTTGGTAAGTGAACCTCAGAGAACATTATAAAATAATAATAAAAAATGCAGTTCCTGACCCCTTTAAGAATGATGTTGTCAAAGATCATGGAAATCATTGTGTGATAAATTGTCTCTCAGGAGAGAAGCGAAAGCATCCCGAGGCACTGACACTTGAGGATGCCAAGCGGATCCGAGTTATGGGCGACATCCCCATGGAACTGGTCAATGAAGTCATGAAGACCATTACAGACCCTGCTGCCATGCTGGGGCCAGAGGTCAGAGTTCATCACACCCTTATGATAGCTTTAAAAGTATAGTTCACCCCAAAATGAAGATTTGATGAAAATTTACTCAGGCTATCAAATATGTAGAAGAGTTTGTTTCTTCATTGAAACACATTTGGAGAAATTAAGAATTACATCACTTGCTCACCAATGGATCCTTCATTCTGACGGCACCCATTCACTACAGAGGATCAATTGCTAAATTTCTACAAATGTGTCCCGATGAAGAAACAAACTCTTCAACATCTTGAATGGCCTGAGGGTGAGCAAATTTTCATTTTTGGGTCAACCATTCCTTGAATATAGCATGAGGTTTTTCTAGAACATCCTGTGTTTTGTGATTATACTTTTGAAGAGTGAAATGAATGATTTGTCATTTGTTTGCTGGTTTCCCAGACTAGTCTGTTGTCTGCAAACGCAGCTCGTGACGAGACGGCTCGTTTGGAGGAGAGGAGAGGCATCATTGAGTTCCATGTGATTGGTAACTCTCTCTCTCAGAAGTCCAATAAGAAGATTCTAATGTGGCTCGTGGGCCTGCAAAATGTTTTCTCCCATCAACTTCCCCGCATGCCCAGAGAGTACATCACACGTCTTGTGTTTGACCCGTAAGTCTACAGGGGACCCCTTCCTTTTTCCAGAGAGCCTGCTACTCTCCTCAACCTTTGCCTGTCAGGTTTTATGTCTCGCTAGCCTCCCCTCAGCCTCTTTTGACCCGGTGTCCTCTGTGTGACCTCAGGAAGCACAAGACTTTGTCTCTGATTAAAGATGGCCGTGTGATTGGAGGGATCTGCTTCAGGATGTTCCCCACTCAGGGATTCACAGAGATCGTCTTCTGTGCGGTCACCTCAAACGAGCAGGTCAAGGTACGGAGATGCACTCAGTGGTTCTCAACCAGGGGGTCTTAGCAAACTTCCAAGAGGGAAGTCTTGTTTTTATTGAAGAACATAGTTTTTATAACTGAATTAATTGCATAGTGAATTGTGATTAAAATTAATCATGGGTAATTAATTCAGTATATCAATGCTCTTAAAATATTGTTTAGGGGAGGTTTTGGGCAACATGGGGGCCATCAGGTCAAAAAAGTTGCCAACCACTATTCTAAACTGCAGTGAGCAATTAAAAACTGCTTCCTAATAAACTAAGTATCTCACAATATAAATTTACCAAAAAAAAAATAAGGCAGCATGGTAGGCATGCTTCACTCTTAAGCCAATCCCAGAATGCACTGCTGTAGGTTTGCTCATTTTATTTTACATGGACTAAAAAAAAAAAACATTATTCTGCATTAATTTATTTAAACCATCCATCCACATTAATCACAGAAATTGTCATATTAATATGTAGATGAATAGCTCTTTTGTTTTGTGGCATGGCGTGTTTGAATTTATGTTTTGATGAATGAATTTTGTGTGTGTGTGCGTCCATGTTTAGGGCTATGGCACACACCTGATGAATCATCTTAAGGAGTACCACATCAAGCACGGCATTCTGTACTTCCTCACTTATGCTGACGAATATGCCATCGGCTACTTCAAAAAACAGGTACAGTTCCATCCACTCTCGTTCAGACGTTTTACATTTTCTGTTTTTCCACTGCACAGCTTCACCTGTTGAACCCTCGTTCTGTCGGTAGGGCTTCTCCAAAGACATCAAAGTGCCGAAGAGCCGATGTCTTCTGTGCGGTCACCTCAAACGAGCAGGTCAAGGTACGGAGATGCACTCAGTGGTTCTCAACCAGGGGGTCTTAGCAAACTTCCAAGAGGGAAGTCTTGTTTTTATTGAAGAACATAGTTTTTATAACTGAATTAATTGCATAGTGAATTGTGATTAAAATTAATCATGGGTAATTAATTCAGTATATCAATGCTCTTAAAATATTGTTTAGGGGAGGTTTTGGGCAACATGGGGGCCATCAGGTCAAAAAAGTTGCCAACCACTATTCTAAACTGCAGTGAGCAATTAAAAACTGCTTCCTAATAAACTAAGTATCTCACAATATAAATTTACCAAAAAAAAATAAGGCAGCATGGTAGGCATGCTTCACTCTTAAGCCAATCCCAGAATGCACTGCTGTAGGTTTGCTCATTTTATTTTACATGGACTAAAAAAAAAAACATTATTCTGCATTAATTTATTTAAACCATCCATCCACATTAATCACAGAAATTGTCATATTAATATGTAGATGAATAGCTCTTTTGTTTTGTGGCATGGCGTGTTTGAATTTATGTTTTGATGAATGAATTTTGTGTGTGTGTGCGTCCATGTTTAGGGCTATGGCACACACCTGATGAATCATCTTAAGGAGTACCACATCAAGCACGGCATTCTGTACTTCCTCACTTATGCTGACGAATATGCCATCGGCTACTTCAAAAAACAGGTACAGTTCCATCCACTCTCGTTCAGACGTTTTACATTTTCTGTTTTTCCACTGCACAGCTTCACCTGTTGAACCCTCGTTCTGTCGGTAGGGCTTCTCCAAAGACATCAAAGTGCCGAAGAGCCGATACCTTGGTTACATCAAAGACTATGAGGGAGCCACGCTGATGGAGTGCGAGCTCAATCCCAGAATACCCTACACCGAACTCTCACACATCATAAAGAGGCAGAAAGAGGTGAGAGTGCACAGATTTACCCTGCTGCTGAAGAGGAATTACATTGTGTTGGTTTATCCAGTGGTATTACGTTGTGTATTGGTGTAAATGATAGGTTGTTTTTGTTTGTTTTGTTTTTAATATATTTCAAAATATCCAAAATTGGCTGCACACATTACATTTTGTCAATTTGTCAACAATTTTTAGAAAAAGGCAGCCAGTCTTTGTAATATGACTATGGGTTTGTTGTTGTCTGCTGTAGATCATCAAGAAACTGATTGAGAGGAAACAGAATCAGATCAGGAAAGTGTATCCTGGTCTCACCTGCTTTAAAGAGGGTGTGCGGCAGATTCCTGTGGAGAGTATACCAGGCATCAGTAAGTGTGCACTCATGTCTTAATAGTGCCTATGATACATACAGTACAGAATTCTTCCATTCTCACACACTCTCTCCCTTCCTTTTTTCTTGAGGAGAGACTGGTTGGAAACCTAGTGCCAAGGAGAAAAGGTCAGAGGAGAATTTATGCATATTTATTCTGAAATCTTAGACCATCTGTGTGTCTGTATTAGATCATAGAAGAACTGCATCTTACCGATGATTTTCAAAGGTTTGGGCTCAGTAAGATCATGCTAAAATCATTTAAGTTATTTTTTTTCCTCAATGTACACACAGCACCCCATATTGACAGAAAAACACAGAATTGTTGACATTTTTGCAAATTTATTAAAAAAGAAAAACTGAAATATCACATGGTCCTAAGTATTCAGACCCTTTGCTGTGACACTCATATATTTAAGAAATTAATACTTTTATTCAGCAAGAATATGTTAAATTGACAGAAAAACTTTTGTAATATGTGACCCAGGACCACAAATCATAAGTAGCATGGGTATATTTGTAGCAATAGCCAAAAATACATTGTAGGGGTACACATTTTTCTTTTATGCCAAAAATCATTAGGATATTAAGTAAAGATCAGGTTCCAAGATATTTTGTAAATGTCCTACCTTAAATATATCTAAAATGTATTATCATTAGGGGTGCAACGGATTGTAGATGATCCGTGATCCGTACAGATCAGGTTGCGCGGTTCGGCACTAATGAGATTCGCGGATTAACTGTTAGGTTTAACCATCATAGAGTTAAAGTTGATCATTTGCACGTGTTTTGTCTTGCCAGTTTACACATTCAAGCAATTTTAACTCGCGCGCTGTTTTCTGAGCGCTCAGTCGCTGCTGCACACACCCGAAGCGTGCAAACGCAGAGAGAGAGACACCGCGTGAGAAGCGAATTGATTCCTCTTTCACATACACACAAAGTTATGTTAAAATACCCGTTTTGGCAAGCATTCTAGTAAACACAGTCGGTTATGTCTTAAGTGAACGTAAACAGCTGAGGAAAAAAAACGGATGTGTGTCAGTATTAGGTCCGTGCTTTTGGTCTTAAAGAGACAGCAGCCAATAAATACCTGTTTCTGTCTGCTAATCAAATAACACCACAGCTCTAACAAAGATTAATCTGTATTTAACTTATGCAGTGAGCACTATTGTGTTATTTTACACTTAATTATTACATTTCTGCACCTGAATGCTACTGTTACTGACTTAATTTGTAACTGTGTTTTGTTGTCTGTATCTATGCTTGTAATTTGTGTAATTGTTCTTGTTTTATTACTAACTTTATTAAAGCTAGTAGTTCTGCTGTGGTATAGAAGTACTTAAAGTAAGCTTTCACAAATATTTTTTTTTTGGCTGATTCGAAAAGTTATCCGATTCGTGAAAAAAAAAAATGTTTATGAAAGATTTTCATATAGTTGTATCTCGGCCAAATATTGTCTACGAAAGAGGATTAGGGCCAAGCAATAATAAAAAACTAAAACCATCTCGAGATTAAAGTCGTTAAATTTTCGAGAAAAAAATCCTATACAATTATGTTTTAAAAAAAAACTTGTTACATTTCGAGAAAAACAGTCTAAATAAAATGTTGAGAATAAACTCATTAAATGACGAGAAAAAAGTCATTGAATTGCGAGAAAAAGGTTGAGAATAAACACTCGTGTCATGTTCATTTCATCTCGTTGGACAGTGGTATTTGGTGTCTGCAGTGGCGCAGGTTGGAGAGTAAGGCACTGGGGAGTAGTGATGATACGATCGACTGGGTTCGCTTTTCTTCCTTTTCTCATCACATATCACATCGGAAAATTGAAAATCAATTGCTTATCGAGTGTTTAATAATAATGTATTAATTAGGTAGGTTTTAGTGCTCGCGCTGCGCTGTCTTTAGGCAGAGCTAATAATGATCCGTGCAGCGTGCTTCACATGAGTAGCGCTCTTCCGCTTCCGGTGCGCTAAAGAAATGACCGCGCATATGAGTTATCAAATTGTTATCACTCACATTTTACTGATACATCTGGCCTAAAATTTAGTGCTGTCACCTTGTGTTGACATTGTGAAACTGCATGATTTGTAAATTATGATTGGCGGGCCACATATAATAGCCTACATTTCAATAGACAAGCAGCGGGCCGTCTGAAATTCTTCCGGACTTTGGACACCCCTGCCAGATGCTATTTACACTAAGTGACAACAGCAGCATTTTAGATATGTGCTATTTACTCTAAGAGAAAATAGCCATTCTATTTATGTTCAGTAAAAGTAGCTGATCTTTGCAATAAGTGTAAATAGTAGCTAATTAGATGCTATTTATGCTTATAAATAATGGCAGATACTATTTGCACCTCAGTATTGTTGTACATTAACAGGATGCAGTAATGACATTGATTTTAATAACAATGATTTTATTTATTAATTATTTAAATAGATGCTGCCTTATTGGGACAACAAAGCCCTCCTTATAGCCTGCCTACCCCTAATTAATACATTATTATTATTTTGACAATTCTAATCTTTAATTAAATAAATAGGGTAATTTATTTAAGGTCAGTAAGATATAGACAACGTATTTAATACATTTAACAATGTATTTATTTATTTATTTAATTGAATATTGTCTGTTTCCATAATGTGTGTGTTTTGATCAGAGCATGACTAACAGGCAGATGACAGGCCAATCGTTCAGTTTTGATTTCCCAACATCACTGACTGGCAAATGGGGCCCCATTTAGGTATCTCTCTATTACTTTCTTCTGCCCTCATTCCAGCTTCTGCTCGCTACATTTACGAATCAAATTCTGTTTCAGTACACATCACTGCTGTGCCAAGCGGCAATCACAGAAAAACAAGCCTCTGATAACAATTGACAGAAACAACTCATTAAAATTTCTTTTATTTCTTCTACTAACAGTCCACAGATGCCTGCTGTCGTTGAATTCGGCCCCTATTTTGTTGTATGTCATTCATCTCCTCTTGTCGGGCCCTTTCTCTGTTTTTGGTTTCGTTTTCTGCTCAGCAGGCTTAAAAAGGGACGGTTTTAAAGACCAGAGGAGGTTCAGCCTCTCAAAGTAGCTCATAGACCCCTCAACATTACAGTAATAGCAGCACAGGTGAGTGAACATACTGACACAATACTGATCTGTTCAGATATAGTTATTTGATCTTAGTTTATAGTCCTTTATAGTCTTTCCATTTAAAACTGTAAGCAAAGTAGTAGCTTTGACATTTTTAACATGGAATATTCGTTTGAAGATTGATTATAAATAATGAGACTTCTGATTAGACCACCAGTTGTTAAAGGGAGAGTTCACCCAAAAATGAAAATTGTCATCTATTTACTCAGTCAAGTTGTTCCAAACCTGTGAGTTTCTTTGTTCTGTTGAACACAAAAGAAGATATTCTGAAGAGTGTTGGTAACCAAACATTTGCTGGCAGCCATTGAATTCCATAGTATTTTCCCCTACTATGTAAGTTGATGGCTACCAGCAACTGTGTGGTTGTCAACATTCTTCAAAATATCATCCTTTGTGTTCAACAGAAGAGAGAAACTCGCAGGTTTGGAACAACTTGAGGGTGAGTAAATGATGACAAAATGTTCATTTTTGGGTGAACTCACCCTTTAACAGAGATTATTGGTGAAACTACCAACATTTCACCTTAAATGCTTATGAGAAGGTTATAAAAGTTAAGAAAAGATCTAAAACATTCTCGCTGGTTTCCCCAATTCTTATTAAACCTGTTTCTTATTGTATCTTCCGATTGACACTGGATCAGTTTATTTATAATTGCACTACATTGGTTAATCTGTAATGATCTGAATGTACAAGTGCATCTCAATAAATGAGAATGTCGTGGAAAAGTTCATTTATTTCAGTAATTCAACTCAAATTTAACCCCCCAAAACTGACCTCAATGTTGTTACAAACTTGTATGACTTTCATTCACACACACAAATAATAACACAGATGGAGACATTTTGCATGCTATTTTTCCATACAGTGGAAGCTGAGGGGCTGTTAAAGTCCCCATGAAATCAATAACCCCCCAAAACTGACCTCAATGTTGTTACAAACTTGTATGACTTTCATTCACACACACAAATAATAACACCGATGGAGACATTTTGCATGCTATTTTTCCATACAGTGGAAGCTGAGGGGCTGTTAAAGTCCCCATGAAATCAAAATTAAAGTTTTTTGGGTGTTAGTATCAATATGTTAGTCTTAAGGTTATCTATAAGGCAGTGTGCTCCAAAACAGTGACAAAATTCGCATTTAGAAGATATAAGCATTCAAAGCTTGCAGTTCGTCACTTCCGCCAAAACGACGCAACGATTTTTTTTGACGTCTCATCAAACTCTGTCCAATCAAATGCTCTCAAGAATCTGAAGCACCCGCCCCCTACACTATAAAATAGATGCTGAAGCTGCGGCTGAAAACCTTTAAGTTTGAAAAAGGACAAAAATATATTGGCACCACAGTGGTTATGGGCCACAGTGGTTATGGGCCAATGTTACATTTTTTTTTGTATTTCATCAGTCAGTATTAGATATATCTGCTGATATAGGGATATAGGGACCAATTCTCACTATTAACTAGTTGCTTATTATCATGTCTATTATTAACATATTCAAAAAGGACAAAAATATATTGGCGCCACAGTGGTTGTGGGCCACAGTGGTTATGGGCCAATGTTACATTTTTTTTTTGTATTTCATCAGTCAGTATTAGATATATCTGCTGATATTATATATTTAAACACTTTAATATAGGGACCAATTCTCACTATTAACTAGTTGCTTATTATCATGTCTATTATTAACATATTGGCTGTTTATTAGTACTTATAAAGCACAGATTAATGTCTTATTCTGAATGGCCATATTCTACATCCCTAATCCTACCCAGCACCTAAACTTAACTACCTTACTAACTATTCATAAGCAGCAAATTAGTAGTTTGAGTCAAAAGTCGTAGTTAATGGTTTATTAATAGCGATATTTAGACATTAAAATAAAGTGTGACCATTAATAAATATATTTACTTGTGCCTGCTCGCGTACCCTACTATTACATTTAGATTACCTTTCTGTCATCCAACACTCAAAGTTATTATTTAAGAAATAGTAATAATTTATTAACACTGTTAAATGCAATCTTTATTTAATTTCAAAATTAATTAAAATTTTTATGCTGTAATTTATAATTTTGTGATGTCTATATTCACATGTAGGATTTAAAATGTTGAAAACATTGATTTTAGTTTTTTGTTTCATTTTTCATTTATTTCGGCTAAATAGTATAGAATTTTAATAGAATTCATTGGTTATCTACCATAATATGAAAATAATTATTGGCCAGAATCGGTGCAAAAAACACCATAAATGTAGTCCACTTGATTTGTGCGCTATATTCCAAGTCTTGTGAAGTCATACGATAACTTTTTGAGGAAAACAGGCTGAAATTAAAGTCATTATTCATTGATAAATTTGCTTTCTGCTTCTAAATCTCAGTTATATTTGTGCATTTTCAGATTACTATCCCTTTATTGGTGGTCTATGTTGACAGCAAAATCTTTGTTATTAGCAATCAGCTTATAAAATCTGAACCAATCACTCAAATGATGACAAATAATCCTGCTCTTCTGTTTCTGCTCAGAGAACCGCATGGAGCTTAAACTGCTGGCATCGAATGCCCGCTACGAAAACCCCAAACTGGCCCGTTTGCAACGCACATTGCTGGATGAGTTTAGTGACAAAAACTCTCGTGGTATCCTCTTCTCAAAGACCCGCAGGGGCACCCATTGTCTTTATGACTGGGTGAACTCCAACTCTGAGCTGCTGAGGGTCAGCATCAAAGCTGGCATTCTCACTGGAGCGGGTACAGGTGCAAATCACATGACCCAGGTACTTTCACACAAGAAAACGTCTCAAATGGTTTCCCTAAAAAGCATTTGTTAGTCATGTTTACTTGAAGACAAACATCTAATATACAGTATTTACAAACTAAAAACAGACTAATTCTGAATTTAGTTATAACTTCCTCTACTTCCTATTTCTGTCTGCTTTTTTTGTGTTTGTTCTTAGAATGGACAGAAGGAAACCATACAACAATTTAGAGATGGAATCCTCAACCTCCTCATCTCCACCAGTGTAGCTGAGGAAGGACTTGATATTCCAGAATGCAACTTAGTTGTACGTTACGGGCTGTTGACCAATGAGATTGCTCAGCAGCAGGCCAGTGGGCGGGCTCGAGCTATGAACAGCATCTATTCAGTGGTGGCTGAAGAAGGTGGGCGTGAACTACGCAGGGAACTTATCAATGAGTATCTAGAAAGTCTGACTGCAAAAGCTATTGACCAAGTGCAGCAAATGAGTCCCAGAGAGTTTAGACACAAGGTTTGCAATTCATTTTCACATTCATGTCAAATAATAGAAAAACTTCACATTTTACCATAAGGTCTTATTTCTGGTTCTTTGTTCATGTCAGATATCCGAGCTCCAACAAATCGCTGTTCTGATTCGAATCCAGGCCGAGAGGAAAAAGGATGAGAGGAAGCAACGCTATAGTCCTGGTCAGGCTCAGTTTCAATGCAGAGAATGCTTCTTGCCTGTCTGCAGTGGAGAAGATTTAAGAAAAATAGAAAATACACACCATGTCAACATCAACCCTGAGTTTGTGTGAGTTATTCCTGAATACATCACAGTCAGCATCACAGACCAAATAGACGTTAAATAATTCTGAAAAATGTGCAACTGAGGAGAGTGTTTAATGAAATACAGTACACTACCATTCAACATTTTGGGGTCATTAAGTCGTTTTAAAGTTTTTGAAAGAGGTCTCTTATGCTCACCAAGGCTGTATTTATTATATCAAATATACAGTAAAAGCAATAATATTGTGAAATATTATAATTTAAAATTACAGCTTGTCTTTGATTCTATTTTAAAATTTAACTTAGTCCCGTGATGGCAAAGTTAGATTTTTAGCAGCATTACTTCAGTCTTCCGTGTCACATGATCCTTCAGAAATCATTCTAATAGGGATGTAACGATTCACTTAACTCACGATTCGATTCGATTCACGATACTGATTTCACGATTTGATTTTCTCATGATTGTCAAAATTAGATTTAAGACAAATTATAAATGAAATGGTGTCCTTTTATTATTGCTTGGACAAAATGCTGCACATTTCTTTGTGAAACAGAAATATGTCTAATAACAAAACTAAATTGAAATTTTAAAACAAAAACCCTAAATCTAATCAAATAAGACCAAAAATCTCTTAATGTAAACAAAGGCTACCTGCGCTCTTTCCATTCAGAATTAGAGGCAACCACTGCATTTGAATCACAATCCAAACAAAGATGCTGAATACATGCAGCATGAGCAGTTTTTTAAATATAAATTCGATTGCATAATTTTAAAACAAAAACAGAATGCTCTGATTTAAGTTTTTTGAAACTATACTACATAAAACATCTGCTTGAAACATAGAGCAGAAGCTCTGAATGAGACGCAGATTCAATCTCTGACAGCAGGAGGCGCTGATGGAACAGCAGCGATACAGCGTTTCCTTGGTTACCGCTGTAAACAAAGCAGAGCAGCGCTTATGAACGCTGATTTAATATGAATTATACAGAGACTACATGAAAAGAAAATACTATCTAAACTTTTCTAAAGACAGTCAGTTCCCCTCAGAGATACTTTCATATAAACTCCAACCCCCAAATGTATCGGGATTCGTTTAACATCTCAACGAATCGTTTTGAAACGTCACATATTTGTATCGATTTTCAACCGGCTCGCGGTGAATCGTTACATCCCTACATTCTAATATGCTGATTATTATCAATGTTGAAAACCGTTGTGCTGCTTAATATTTTCGTGGAAACTGTGATACATTCATTATTTTCAGGATTCACTGTTGAATTGAAAGTTCAAAAGAACAGCATTTATTTGAAATAGAAAACTTTTGTAACATTATAAAAATCTTTACTGTCACTTTGGATCAATTTAACGCATCCTTGCTAAATAAAAGTATTAAAAATATAATTTCTTTCAAAAAAATAAAAAATTAAATTAAATTAAATAAAATAAAAAAAATAAATAACATCTTAATTCCCCCAAACTTTTCAATGGTAGTGGCATTTGTTATATTCTTAGAAGCACATTTTATTACTCGAGTGCATAATTGTAAAATTATGATAAAACCATTTGTAATAAACATACTTAATGTCTTAATAATGTATCAAATCAAAATATGCTTGCAAAAAGGGTTTGATTGATAGCTTATGGGACAGAAAATGAATGAAGTCAATGGTCCCTACCATGATCAAAAACAATTATACTTTATAGGAGGCATTATAGAACAGGTGGGCAGGTCTCTCTGGAGAGGAACTTTGAAGATTGGGAGCCTGGACGGGTTATCAGCTGCAACAAATGTGGAAAGGTACAGATTGTGTTAGTTTACACTTCAAAAAAAAAAAGAAGAAGAAGAAGAAGAATAGATCGCAATTTGTATAATAAATGTATCCAACTAAACACAGGAAGACGTCCTTATGAATACTGACCTACATTTCTTCATCCCTCCGTTTCTCTCTTTCTCAGGACTGGGGAATGGAGATTAGGTTCAGGAATGTGGTAATACTCCCCTGCTTAAAAATAAAAAGCTTTTCCTTGAAGACTCCTGGAGGCAAATCCACTCCCAAGCAGTGGAAGGATGTTGAGTTCCAGGTGAAAGAGTTTGACTTTCTTGAGGACATGAGCAGCCGTTTCCCTGACCTAGACTTAGATGACTGACACACCATTTAAACTCTTAAACACTTACTGTGTCAGGTTTTCTGTCTACAGTGAGTACTTGTGTACCAGTGGTTTTCTACTTGTAGGTCATGGAGGTACTGCAAGAGGCCATCGATTGCTGTTAGTTACAAACTACTTAGCATCATTTAAATATGAAATGATCCATCCTGATCATGCTGATTATCCATCTTGTTGTTCATGGATGTTGGGGGCAGTAGATGATTTTGTGCTTGGTTGTGAGTGTCAAAAGACAGTTGGGAATCTCTGTTCCATATAATATCTGTCTGTACTCAAAATATAGTTTTAAATTGTTTACTTAGTAGTTTCTGTCGTGTAAGAGTTTTATTTGCTTTTGTCTGAGAAAGGGGTGTGCGTGTGTGTGTGTGCTTTGATGGTATTTTTTATTTTTAATAATCTCATTGATTATTCTGGTGTCCATCTCTGGGATCAGGACTGTGCTGCTCAGATTATTAGTTATTGTTGACATTAATGTGCAATATGTCTCTAAATTTATCTGAAGCTCTTAATGGCCCTAATTGAGCTCTAGTCTGCTCAGACTGTCGCTTTCAGATTGCTTGAACATTTACATTTATTCATTTAACAGATGCTTTTATCCTAAGTGACTTTCAAATGAGGAGAAACATGAACACGTTTCAAAAAAATCTGCGAGCCTTCATTTACAGACTGCTTACAGGTTTGTTTATAGCACTTAAGTATGTTTCTCACAAAACATAAGAAAATATGTATAACGAATGTCTTGCCATATGTCTGACCTTTTTACATTACTGCATTACCTGTATATCACATCTAGAATATATGATTTTTCTGAAATGTATAATAAAACAATTATGCACTGTATTTGATGTATTTTCGTCCTTGTAGTTGCTACTCAAGTGGATACTTACTGTTATGAACCTGTGTGTGAGGAAAGACTACAGTCGTAGATATATTTCAAAATGTGGAGATTCTGATTGATTTTTGATAGTATTTAGCGTCAACCACTAGATGGCGCCAAGCAGTCTTGCTTTCCGGTCGTGTTAATTGTTGTCAGATTTCACTAGTTAATTAGTTCTCATTTGCACATTCGATTTGCCTTGTTTAAACACTCTTTGGTTTGTTCTAGGTTTTAGTTCCTGTGCTGTTAGCCAAACCTGTAAGTTGAGAAGGAAGTAAGTGACGCTTGTCATTATAAAATTAATTAGTCTTTTATGTTCACAGTTCATCTACCTTAGCCATTGTGTTCTTTCAGTCTGCACATGGGTTCAAAACTAACTGGAGGTCAGGTCAGGTGCTCAGGGTTTTTTTTTTCTTCTTCTTTTAAATACAAAGAGCCTTTAAGTTAAGACCTCGTGGTGACAACCATTAGTAATGTTATGAACAATTAGAGCACAACTACATTATGCTGATGTGTATATTATATGAAAAAACAGTTCTTTGTTTTTCCATGTGTGCATCAAGGCAAGAATATATATATATTTATTATATATGTATTGTAGGCCTATATATGTAATCAAATGTGCAATCAGCGGAATCAGTGGAACTGGCTCTCTGGGCAATTAGTAAATAAGTATCTGCAAATTAGATGGCGGATTAACTTTGAACAAATATGCATGTGTTATTGTAATGTTAAATGTAATCAAAGCGAAAGAGAGCCAGAGCCATAGGCCAGGGGTTGACATAAAGGGTAGTGTTGTGTCAGTGTGGTTTTGCATAGATCAGTGACTCAGCAACGCCCAGAGCACACATTTAAACACACATACACAATGCCCGCAGAACAAATCACACACATACACATGCTGCTCATTTACACAGACTTTAGCAAGGACATTCAAAGTCAAAGCTAAAATTCTGTCAGACAGACAGGAAGTGCTGAATCACAGATGTACAGACATAACTTTAATTCAGTTCTCTGCTAACACAGTCTTCCTTTATGTAGCATGTTGATTTTCTGATCATGCCTATATTTTTTGCTTTCTGTGAGTACATCACCTGTGCATGACATTACTGTCTGTAATATCTGTCTGTTCCCACTTAAACAAATAAATGGACATTATTATGTGAGAAGAAAGAGATGTGATATAGCTAGCTCTGTGTAGGCCTACGGATTGTTGATGTGGCAACGGTCCAATATACAGTTTAGTGTACAATAATATTTGACCACTGAATGCTGCTTCTGACCAATGAGAATCAAGTATTTCAGTGAGCCGTGTCAGACAGTTTAATGCAGACACCGTTTTCAGCAAACATGAGGAGAGATCACATAGCTTAACTACAGATTTTATGGAGGGTTACATTGAAAGACCCTAAATAGAGTCTAGCAACAGCTATGGGTCAGAAATATAGGCAACACTACAGCATGTACATAAGTGCACATGGCACAGATGTTGTCGGTGTGTTGTCTCTGGACTGGCTTTATCAGACAGGATTAATCATGTCAGCAGGGTTCATAGGTGTGTTTAAATCTGTTTGTGTAAGTCGCTCTCTAGTGCTTCCTCTTCCTCTGTGTGTGTGTGTGTGTGTGTGTGTGTGTGTGTGTTTATAGAGACCCAGGTGCAAAAGAGATGAAGGAATGGAGATGGATGAATAGACTCCGCCAAGAAGGCAAACCCAAATATTCCTCCTGCTGTCAGTTTAAAATGACTCCGCACACATAGAGACTGAGAGACATTCCTCTTAGTCCAACAAAGACTCTGTAATCGAAACCAAATGTTATGAAAGCTCTTACCCAACAGATAGTTATGGTCACTTCAAAAGGATTATAAAACAGCTTTGAACGTAAATACGGACATGTCTCGTTAAGTAAATCTATATTTCCAAAATTCCTTTCCTCATTCTGTTGTAGCTAAACATGGTTTTTAAATACTCATGCTCAAATACAAAAGCTGACCAATTCAGAAACACGTGCTTTCCTTTTGTGTCCAGCTTGTAAACTCAGTTTTTTTCAGTCTATATATAAACGCCTGACCACACTAACAACATGCTGAACCTGTAAATAGTTTACTATATAAAAGACAGTGAGAGACTGTATGAGTGATTAAAGGAATAGCTCACCCAAAAATGAAAATTGTCACTTACTTTCATGTTTTTCCAAACCCTTATTCTGCTTTTATTTCATGGAGCTCAAAAAGGGAATTTTGAAGAATGTTAACATGTCTTTTTCAGACCATAGTAATCTTTGAAGATCCTAAAAGAACAACATAAAGTAGTTTAAGACTCATGTGCTAAGTCTTTTGAAGCCAAACTGAAGTTTAGGTTTGTATTCACTAATTTTCTTCTCCTCTAATGAGCTGATAATTCAAGAACCGTTGCAACTGGATCATCACTCTTAAAAATGAAGGTTCTAAATTGGCACCTATGATTCCGTGAAGAATATTTCATGTCCATAGAACCTTTCCATTGCCCGAAAGATTCATTATAGTAGAAAAAGGTTTATCAGATTATTAAAATTTTTCACACTGAGGAAAAAAAATATTCTTGTAATAAAAATTAACTGAAAGGTTCTTTGGGGAACCCAAAATGGTTCTTCCATGGCATCGTTTTAGAACCTTTATTTTGAAGAGAATTGAACTTAAATAAATTGAAACCTCGTAACTTCAGCCCGCCTCCATTCAGATTGACGCGCCACGCACAGCCTGGAGGAGACAGATCTCCGCTTGTTCGCAATGCAAGGGTAAATAAATAACTGATGTTTGAATGAGTACAGCGTTTTATTTTGCAAACACTATGTCTGTAAAGGCTAATATTTTTTTGTGTGTTTGAAGAGTGGAGTAGTAAACTATTTGCCGTCTAGTTGTAGCCAATATACTTTTGTATGTTTTAAATATCCTGTGCTGTGCATATAGTGCTTCATCGTTTATATCATGAGATTTTGGCCAAGTGTATTAAACAACAAGAAAAACTAAGCACCCCTATAGCTACAATAAACGTTATATAACCTGTAAAAGTTGATGAAAGCGTATTATGCGATGCACATGCTGCCTCAGATGCCGTCTTCTACTGACAGACAAAACGCAGTTTTTCGCTGGCCAAAAACTCAATTTGAGCTTGATTTTCATGTAATGTGAAGTGCAAGTATCTAATACACCAACACTGATGATGCAGTGTTTAATTATTGAAATGTCCCCCCAAACTACCCCCCCCCCCCCCCCCCAAAAATAATATTTTTAAGTAAATAATATTGTAAGTTTCACTCCCTGGCTTTTAACAGATTGACAGATTTTCACTGAGTAATGATTTAAATGTTAGTCTGTTTTGTCCTTTTTGTAGATTCAATGAACTATGAAGCATGAAATTCCTCATTTTGTGCTCTACAGAATAAATAACAGCATGAGGGTGAGTCAATAATGGCATAACAATTTGAGCTGACTATTCTTTTAAGATGTCAAGGGAAAGAAGAAACTCAAGCCGTCATTTATCTGTCTACAACATGCGGTGTGTGTCTGTCATTATCGGCACAGTCACACTGTCTATCCATCTTTCCTTCAGTCTTTCTGTCTGTCCTGCTCTCTTTGTCTCTCCCTCCCCCCTCCTCCTTTTGTCCATCTCTCTCAGGCTTGTATGAAAAGCACCCTGTCAATCTTATTTTCTTTTATTCTCCCTATTCTATAGTTAATAGGACCCTATTTTCTCTTCGAAGAGACTGTGCATTAATGATCAGGTAGACTGGGCTTTTTTTTTTTCACAATGTCAGACAAGAGAGACCAGAGGGAGAGTGTAGACTGTGTATTCGAATGTGCGCAAAAGAGAGACTGAATGGATGTTGACTCTCTTCAGATAGCCAGTAACAGCCAGTAAAAGACAAGGAAATTGGCCCAAATGGGGTATGGGTAATTTCACATCTGCTGTGTTCAATCAACCTCTATCTGGCTTTTGTGCAGGCCAGCTCTCCACAAACAGCCAGGTGTGTGTTAGCATGCGTGTTTCTGACTGTGTGTGTGAGAGAGAGATATTGCGAGACAATGTGTAATATTGGAAAACAAAGCACTCGGTGCTTTCATTTATGTTTGGACAACACGTGCAATCCAAACTGCACAAACACATTCACTCTGTATCTTGGTTGAAGATATACCCATTGAACATAATGTCTTTCGCAACTCAAATATATAGGACATGACTTGATTATATGCATCGGGGGTTGCTTGGATTGTGAAAAGGTGCCATTATGTTCCCGACTGAACCCAGTGGTTGAAAACATGACGTAAGATTTTGTGATGAAAAAATACATTTGTTTCAGTGGTGGAGCACGTTTTGATGAATGATTGCAAAATAAAAACATTTTGCTTTTGATTAACAAGCACTCACAAATTGTCCATAACAGGACCAAGATTGTGCATTAAGAAAATATATACCGTTCAAAAGTTTGGGGTCAGTAAGATGAAATAAATTATTTTGGCACAAACAGAATGCCATAATTTTTGGAAACATTTTTCAACAAGATGACAAAGAACATGCACCCTCCTTGTGAAGGGTGTCAATGATTGTCTTCTGGACAACTGTCAGATCAGCAGTCTTCCCCATGATTGTGTAGCCTAGTGAACCAAACTGAGAGACCATTTTGAAGGCTCAGGAAACCTTTGCAGGTGTTTTGAGTTGATTAGCTGATTGGCATGTCACCATATTCTAATTTGTTGAGATAGTGAATTGGTGGGTTTTTGTTAAATGTGAGCCAAAATCATCACAATTAAAAGAACCAAAGACTTAAACTACTTCAGTCTGTGTGCATTGAATTTATTTAATACACGAGTTTCACAATTTGAGTTGAATTACTGAAATAAATGAACTTTTCCACGACATTCTAATTTATTGAGATGCACCTGTATGTATGTGTATGTGTGTGTGTG